GGCCACAATCTGTCTCTCTTCTTCAAGTTCTCTGGTAAGCCGTTCAAACTGAAGCTCCTTCAGAAAGACAGGAGGGACAAAAGTGTCACCACTGCTGCCTTCTACCATCAAAAACATATCCATCATGTGTAGGCAGTACACACATCATACCCGTTTCCCGTTACAACATTAATTTAGCTTCAAAATCCATTGTCTTTAAATCCCGTCTCTTCTCAGCTTCCATCCTGTCTTGCTACTCTTTGCTTCTGAATTTGTGGCCTCTTCCCCTCCTCTTGCCTCAGTCTCTCTGAGTGTGTGCAATGCATGTGTGTTTGTTAATGTGTGTGTGTGTGTGTGTGTGTGCGGAAGGCGAGAAGGCTGCACTGTTGGCCTGCCTCTCTGTGATAGAGACAGACTCGTTGATGCAGCTGCCCTTAAAGGAGACACACTCTCTCACACACATATAAACAGCCCACATTGCTGTTGTATTGACTATAGTATTCTGAGGAGAAAAAATATAACTTTGTTGTGTGTGTCACTGCATATTTTCATGATTGCTTGCCATTGTTAGACTGCAACGAAATGAATCTGGAGCATTGTAACTGCTCTGAAACAGATATTATATTCTGAAAGTATTGCAGGTTTCAAGCCGGCAAGCATTACAAGAGGTTGCAATTAATGTAGCCAGTGAAAAGGAGAGATTATTGAGTGTTGTTCTCCAGGCGAGATAAGTCAGGCAATGGCTATCTGCCTTGTGCCATGCTGTGAGCTACCAGCTGTACCAGGCCTCTTCTATTCAACCTATTGTTCAGAGTGACAATACTTGCCTATGTCCTGATTCTGTCCAAGAGGAGCACAAAGAAACGACAAGACTTAACCACACAAATCACACACACACACACACACACACACACACACACAATGCAATGAAATCCATGCTGCAGTTTCTGGTTTGCTAGCAAAACATGTTAAGCCTGGTAATGGGATGATCAGTTAGATTTTAACAGAGACTCACAGCGTTAATGAACGCTATCAGCATCAACAAGATTTGTAATGATTAAGCTAACAGTTTAATTAGTCATTTTCATGACACTGAACTGTGAAACAGATTAGAAGGCCGAAGAGTCAAACCTGTTGTGAGAAAACACGTAAATAATAATTTTGTTCTTAACCAAACTTGCCTGGTAAAATAAAATGATGAACTATACTCATATATAATTAAAAATAGAAGAAAAAATGTGATAAATAAAATTAAATGGTCTAGATTTCAAACTAGACTTTATCAGCTTGTTTCTAAACAAAATAATATAAACTAAAATCTAAAATTTGTAATAAAATAAAATATACAATAAAAACACTTACAAAGATTTGTAAAAAATAATATAAAATTGGTAACTAAAAACTAGCCTTCAAATTCAGCGTAAACCTACATTGTATACGAATCTTGTTTTTAAACTGATAAATTAAAATATATGATAAAAAATACTAAAATAAATTGGTTATAAAATAAAATAAAATAGGTAACTAAAAACCAGCCCTCAAATTCAGTGTAAACCTACACTGAATAAGAATCCTGTTTTTAAACAAATTGGCTGATAAATTAAAATATATGATAATAACACTAAAATAAATTTGTTATAAAAAATTAAATAAAATTGGTCATTAAAAACCAGCCCTCAAATTCAGCATAAAACTACACTGTTGAACTGTGAGAAGACTTCAGTGGACTATCTAGTTACCTTGTACATGTCTCTCTACACTGAATAAGAATCTTGTTTTTAAACAAATTGGATGCTAAATTAAAATGATACAAAAAAAAATATGATGCATGTTATGATACAAATATGATACAAAAAACTACAATAAATTTGGAATAAAAATTGTAATAAAATAAAAAAATTAAGTTAGTAACTTGTTATTAAACAAATCAATATAAAATAAAATATATGATAAAAAACTTTTAAAATAAATATGGAAACGGAATAATAAATAACTTGGAAAAACTGGGCTTCATCAGCTCTCAAATTCAAACCTGATGTGAGAAAACAGGTAAATAAGAATCTTGTTCTTAAACAAATAGGATGGTGACATCATAAAAAATGTATTAAAATAAAATAAAACCACACTGTACACCAACAGAGGAAACAAGGTTATCAGTTCTAAAATTCAGTCTAGACCAGCTATTTGTGTCCTCAAAGCGAGCTTTCCTCACCCAGGAATTAATAATGCAAATATGACTTTTGACTAATGAGCAGAAGGTTGACTTAACACATCTACAATCTGTGGCCACTCATGTTTGAGCTGCTCTTCAGATTACAGCTACCCTACAGCCAGACACTGGCAGATGGAAACGGTGCGGCATACCTGTTCTTTAACAGAGGCCAGCAGGTTGGTGGTGGTGGCATCAGTCGCCATGTTGTTGTTGTTGGATCTTCCCTCACCACTCAACACCTTCCTTTCCTCCACAGGGCTTTGCCTTGGAGTAGGCATTCCCCCTGCACACAGGAACACACAACACACAGCTATTATCATTTATATGCAGTGCCACTGATACACTATTATTATCTTGCTTTGCAAATATAGTCCAATATAGCAATTTCAATGCCCTACCATTTATTTAGATATCATAAACCTTTATAGTTTTGAAGACCAGACTACAACAGTTGTTGAGTTTACTGGTCAACCGTTATGGATTTTAATGGCCGATGCTGATCCTGATGTCACAAACTACTACTAACAAAAGTTTGGGGCCAGTGAGATTATTTTTTATTTTTTACTATTGTTCAGAAATCACACATTAAATTATTTAAAAATGACAACTGAGACTTTTATAATGTTACAAAAAATTTCTATTTTCAATGAAATGCTGCTCTTTTATTAAAGAATCCTAAAAAATGTATCATGATTTACACAAGAATATAAGGCAGCACCTGTTTTCAGCATTTGCAAATAAGCAAATTATAATGATTTTTTTTTAAGATTATGTGACATTGAAAACTGGAGTAATGCCTGCTGAAAATTCAGCTTTTTCACATCACAGGAAAAACACTAGAACGATGCAGATACCCTTAAATTGGCAAACTATTGGTTGACTAATTGGCCTGGTTGATATATAAGTGAAGGTGACTTCCTTAAAATCAACATTAAACAGTAATCGGTACCCATGTGACAGAGCTTGATGTTATCCATCTGGAATTAATTGGATCTTGAAAAGCAGGCAAGCACTTTTAAGGAGGCTGGAATGTAGAAGCTGAAGAAGGTCAAGTTCATCCGCAAGAGCATCTTGACATATCATCGTTTACAATTTGATGGAATATTTGAAAGACAAACATTTTTCTTTGGAATAATGTGAACTGGTGAATCGTGCACAAGGACCAGGAACGTGTATAAAGCAAGCAAACAGGGATTTGACTTCTAATTTCATGTTGATGGTGTACCAGAAAACTGCATGGAAATCTTTGTCCTATTCACTTTTATTAGAATGGCACAGAAAGCCTGGAGTTCTTGGCAGCATTATGGCAGGGCAACAAGGGATGTATTCCAACGTGTGTTCCAGCATCCCAGCATGCAACAGCATGACAAGACAACCTGTTCCCTTCCCCCAACTGACAGCAAAAAATAGTATGATCAGCAGATGCACTCTTTTTTCCTCATCCTGGATGGCTTTAATGCCTTTAAGATCTTCAGCTTGGTCTAGTTGCATTTTTATGTAAAAGCACATCATGCAAATAGCAGAAAGTGATTTTGAAGAGCAGAATTTTGATAGGATGTTCTGCAGTACTAAGATTAGAAGGGATGAGATTAGATAATGAAATAAGATTAGAGGAGCAAAAGTATATATTTCAAAATTGCTTTGTCGACTAATCAGTTTTAAGGGACCTCTGGATTTTAGTTCACCTGACACTGATCATATGTGCTCATGGCGCAAGATGCTCAAAAAACAGTACACATGACGTCACAATGAGATGACCAAAGATGTCTGTCTGGACTTTAGAGCTGCACAGTCGGGATCTTATTCCTATAAATGATAATGATTCTGAAACACTCTGAAATGCCACCACTAATCCAGAAAGAGCGGTTGTCTCTTGTATGTATAAAACAGCTTCACAGTGTTTTCAACCACACAGTATCTTTATTTGTAACATTCACATAATAACTTAAGTATTGGATTAAAGTTGATATAGTTCATGTATGTATATATATATATATATATATATATACAGTATATATATATATAGTAGATACATGTTCAAGGTAACTAGATAGTCCACTGAAGTCTTCTCACAGTTCAACAATCACTTATTTTGATCACTTGATGGGCTAGTTTTTAGAGATCTTTCAGATCTTTTTAAACCATGGCCACAGACATAAGTAATAATTAATTACGAATCTTGTAAATGACAAAATTATAATTATATAAACATTGAATAGTTGGATCCTCCAATCTGATTCATCAAGCATCTTTCTGCATTCAGTCCGTTTCATTAGTTTGTGTGGGTTACATCATTACGCTAGCAGCTGGTGACAAGTGAATGTCTTTATGAGTCATTGAATCATTCACTCAACCAATCTGTTCAAGGTGAGTCACTGAATCATTTGCTAATGTATTTTCATATTTTAATGTATTTGTTTTTTTAGTTTTACAAAACATTATTTGTTCAAATCCATACATATTTGTATGTAAAAACTTAAAAATTTACAGTAACTTCAACTTTGTCTTTTCCCTCGGTGACTACAATGTCTAGTTTGACACATCATTCCTACCTTTTAATTGCTGCATTTTTTAAAAAGGCAAAGAACATTTTTGACAAAACCTGTGGTAAATTATTATTTTGTTTAGTAGCCTAATGCTTTTTGCAAATTGCTGAAATATACATTCTATTCAGACTCATGAGAGAATAGAGTGGGGGAACTATGACGTCACTTTGTAGGTGGATCGGCTGTTAGCGTCACACTGGCTCCCTCGACAAAAAGCCATTAGGATTTTTCCATAGGTTTTTGGATTATCGCAAAAAAATAAGTTCTGTGTTAGGCCTGTGACGATAACAAGTTTTTGTTGTGCGATATATTGCCCCAGAAATAATTGCGATAAGCGATATTATTGTCATTTTTAAGAACATTTTATGCCACTGAATATATAATCATAATGTAACAGCATAATAACGCAAGAAGGCCTACACACTTCCAAATGACAACAAACTTTACATTTTTAAGAATATTTAGATCATGGAAGTTAAGTATCAAATTATTAGATACCTTAAAAAACCTGAATAAATAGTAAATAAATATTTTTTAACAAAAAGTGCAAAGTAACAAGTAGAAAAAAAGAAAAATGCACAAAGAACTTGTATGGAGTTTTTTCCATCTACAGATTTGTCCCTGACCTTCTTTTCTCTGTAAATGAAGGGTGCACACTGTTGCTGAAAAACACAATCACTACTTAGCAGTCAGATGCCCGTATGCACAAAGGCACAGATCCCTAAACAAGACCATATCTGCAGATTAAACTTTTTTTTGTAGAAGCATTTTTTAAATTTGAACTAGCACCTCATGACTACACCACATTATGTACAAGAATCTGCAAAAGACACAGGCGCCAAGTGGAATGTACAAAACATGGTGACATTAATTTTTAAGTAAATATAATGGGCAATATATAGCATCACCAAAAATTATTGAGGTCATATATTGCACGATAAGTCGATATTTTGATTATTGCAACAGGCCTGCTCTGTGTTCAATCACAGTCCATGAAATGTACACGTTTTGTCCATCAAGATAAAATCTTCACAAAATAATATAACTTTTATGAATTTTGAAGCCTAAACAAAAGCGCCAGAACTTAAAAGCTAAACTTAGGCTATAAATGAACTACAGCACAACTGTCGCGACAACTTTCACAAACTTATTTTTAACATGTTCAGTGAAAAGGATTTACTCTGTGGAAGAATTTTAATCCACGCTACATTAGGGCTGGACAGTAATTCAATATCAATATGTATCGCGATATAATTTTTTTTCAATAACGTTGATATGATTTTTAAACACATAAATATATTTCGATATTTCAATATAAATGACCAGTGTTTCCCATACATTGATTTATTTGTGGCATTTGACTTCATTGAATAAACATGAGCACTGCACATTTCAAAATCAGAAATACATACTACATAATACATATGTATGGGGGTAGAATTGTTGCTTAATTCCAAATAAATAGATTATGATCGATCATAATCTATTTATTTGGAATTAAGCAACAATTCTACCCCCATACATATGTATTCAAAATACATACTGGTAAAAAATGTATAGCCTGAATGCACTGTAAGTCGCTTTGGATAAAAGCGTCTGCTAAATGCATAAATAAATAAAAATCAAAACACGTTACGGGTGTTTTATATGAATGTGTCTCTGAAGGGAAAGGACTGTCTTCAGAAAAGTTTCAATGGCATTTTCATTTTATCTGATAAAAAGCGTTCATGAGCGGAGCTGCTTTGATTACAGCCGTTACCGGAGAAGCCGCAGTTTCTGCCGCTCTCAAAGCGCCTCCTGCTGGCAGACAATCAGTTTGCATTTTTAATAAGCCCGTCTCCAGCAACATGTTTTTGTTGTTGCTCTTTTTTTTTCTGCAGCAACTCAGAGCACTTTTCATACTCTTCAGTGTTTCCCATTCATTAACTAGACTGTGGTGGCCCGCGCTGTTTGCGCTGCTTGTTTCAAAGTGAAGCGCGCACATTGCGCAGTGCACGCGATCGGCTCGTGATCCGGTGTTTTCTGCATCTCAGAGCGGCTCCGTTCACAGTGAATGCAGTGAACTCCGTTATTGAATGTGCTGTGAGTTTAGGAACGCAACGGCCACCAGTTATACATCATTTGCACATTTGCATAATTTTCAACATTTGAATGGGCAAATGTTAACAGTATTTCATTAAATTAGTAATGTTTGTAACCCTGTTTTCACAAAAGCTGGAGTTTTCCGCCAAAATAAAAGTTTAACTGAAGTTTCTGCCAAAATAAAAGCTCAAGGGTTTATCTCTCGCAAGCATGGCCTAAAATTAACAGACACGCACAGAGAAAATACTGTACAGGTACAGCAAGCTCACTGTTCGGAATAAAAATAAAAATATTGGGGTTGGGGTTTATATGAATGTATTTCTGAAGGGAACTGACTTCACAAAAGTTTCGATGGCATTTATTCCCCTCTTATCATTGCTGATCCATAACCACCACCTGCTGTCAGAGAGTGAATTTGCGTTCTCATTCAGCCTGTCTGTTTTTGTTTCATGCAGGTTTTATCTTTGTATCTTTGTTTGTGTCGTGATAAAAATGCAGTGGTTGGTTCTAATTTCAAATGGCTTTTTTTATTATTAAATATGTTTACTTGTTGGGCTAACGTTTTTTTTTTGCAAAAACAGTTTAATGGCAAGGAAAAATATTTATGGCCACCAGCCACTGGAAGATGTGAAAGTTTGTTTTAGGCCCTGCTTGCAAGTGTAGAAATGAGGACAAAAGTATTGCAATTTCCCTACAGTAGAGTAAGGTAGAATAAGATACCTGAAAAAAAATTATTTTCATTTATTTCACAGTGCAATTGTTTTACAATATATGGCTATAACTGTCATAGGAATAATAATATAAAATTATTATTATTATTATGATTGTTTTATTCTAATTTGCTTGGCTTCCAAATACACCAGTGAGACTGAGACACTATATCACAACTAAAAAGAGGGTTGAGTCTCCTTTAAATTTCAAGAACAAGTACATTCACCAGCTTTTTTCTTTTACTTTGCAAACTGAACCTGTGTTGGAGCTCTTAATTTTGAACTCTCAAAGTGCACCAGATTTATGAATTTAATTTTAAAATGTAAAACAATTTCTTACAGGGGAGCATGCCCCCGGACCCCCCTAGAGGGATCGAGGACCACCCACCAAAATCCTGTGGGAAACACTGCTCTTTATACTGGCTAAAGCACATTTGTTTCAATCTATAAGAATAATCAGCCTAAACTACCATTCAAAAGTTTTTGAACAGTAAGATTTTTAATGTTTTTTTTTTTTAAGAATTCTCTTCTGCTCACCAAACCTGCATTTATTTGATCCAAAGTACAGCAAAAACAGTACAATTTTGAAATATTTATACAATTTAAAATAACTGCTTTCTATTTGAATATATATTTTAAATGTAATTTATTCCCGTGATCAAAGCTGAATTTTCAGCATCATAATTACTCCAGTCTTCAGTGTCACATGATCCAGAAATCATTCTAATATGCCGATTTGCTGATTATCAATATTTAAAACAGTTGAGTACATTTTTTTTCAGGATTCTTTGATGAATAGAAAGATCCAAAGATCAGCATTTATCTGAAATAAAAAGCTTTTGTAACATTATACACTATACCATTCAAAAAGCTTGGAGTCAGTATGATTTCTTTCTTTCTTTTTTTTGGAAAGAAATGATAGAAATTAATACTTTTATTTAGCAAGGATGATTTAAATTGATCAAAAGTGATGATAAAGACAATGTTACAACAGATTTCTATTTCAGATAAATGCTGTTCTTCTGAACTTTCTATTCATCAAAGAAACCTGAAAAAATTCTACTCAGCTGTTTTCAACATAATAAATGATTTTTGAGCAGCAAATCAGAATATTAGAATGATTTCTGAAGGATCATGTGACTGGAGAAATGATGCTAAAAATATAGCTTTGAAATCACAGGAATAAATTACATTTTAAAATATTATTTTAAATAGTAAAAATATTTCAAAATGTTACTGTTTTTGCTGTATTTTGGAAGATAATTCTTTAAAAACATAAAAAATCTTGACTGGTAGTGTATGTTAGCCTATAGTTTGAAGTTAAAGATATTAATTATGATACAATTTTTCATAAGTTTGAATATGAGATCTTAAGTTTTTTTAAATAGTGTTCATATTGACATCGGAATTATATCGCATCGACTGAAATTAAGAAATATATTGTGATATAAATTTTGGCCATATCGTCCAGCCCTACGCTACATGAACCTTTTCATATAAACTGGAATAAATTCAAAACTAGAGCCAAACTAAAACTGAAATGAGACTGCACAGGACGCGATTTACAAATGCATGCAGCTATCTACAAATGCACAGGACGCGATTCACAAATAAATGCCAGGCAAAGTTGTGGTTGTGACATAAATATATATTTGTGAATATGTTTTTTATTTGCAAATCTCATTTTATTTATTTGCGAATTTAATTCATGTTTGTGAAACTTTAAGATTAATTTGTGGATCTCATTCTATTTATTTGTGGATCATAATCTATTTATTTGGAATTAAGCAACAATTCTACCCCCATACATATGTATTCAAAATACATACTGGTAAAAAATGTATAGCCTGAATGCACTGTAAGTCGCTTTGGATAAAAGCGTCTGCTAAATGCATAAATAAATAAAAATCAAAACACGTTACGGGTGTTTTATATGAATGTGTCTCTGAAGGGAAAGGACTGTCTTCAGAAAAGTTTCAATGGCATTTTCATTTTATCTGATAAAAAGCGTTCATGAGCGGAGCTGCTTTGATTACAGCCGTTACCGGAGAAGCCGCAGTTTCTGCCGCTCTCAAAGCGCCTCCTGCTGGCAGACAATCAGTTTGCATTTTTAATAAGCCCGTCTCCAGCAACATGTTTTTGTTGTTGCTCTTTTTTTTTCTGCAGCAACTCAGAGCACTTTTCATACTCTTCAGTGTTTCCCATTCATTAACTAGACTGTGGTGGCCCGCGCTGTTTGCGCTGCTTGTTTCAAAGTGAAGCGCGCACATTGCGCAGTGCACGCGATCGGCTCGTGATCCGGTGTTTTCTGCATCTCAGAGCGGCTCCGTTCACAGTGAATGCAGTGAACTCCGTTATTGAATGTGCTGTGAGTTTAGGAACGCAACGGCCACCAGTTATACATCATTTGCACATTTGCATAATTTTCAACATTTGAATGGGCAAATGTTAACAGTATTTCATTAAATTAGTAATGTTTGTAACCCTGTTTTCACAAAAGCTGGAGTTTTCCGCCAAAATAAAAGTTTAACTGAAGTTTCTGCC